ACAGTAGTTTCTGCACAGAGATGATCCCAGACAAAATCAGTACGTGGAAACTTACTGATGATCAGTTAATGCACTCGATTACCTGATCAGGTGAGAGCACCTGAGTGGGAGCAGGAGCTTTGGAGGTTTGCAGGAAAGACGTCAGCGGTGATCTTAAGGAAGCAGCTGTTTCTCCTCGTCAAGAGTTACGAGCTCGTTCCCTCTGAACGGGCCTCCTTCACTAATATTTGAAACGTTCAGACTCTGTGTATCGTTCGTAACCATCAGTCCATAATGCCCCGCCCCCATTTCTCTGTGTAAGGAAACAGGTGAAGCAGAAAAACTGGTGACGATAAGCTGAGAGAGAAGCAGCTTTGCAAAGCGTTTCTACGGGAGTGACGACCGTTTAACAAATGAAGGAATAAATTAGTGCTGAATATGGTTTCCCCTGAGACACAGATGATTGATCCTGTAAGGCGGCGCTGGGGAACTCCAGGGCTCAGGGGCCGGCAGGTTTCAGTTTAGATTAGCTCATCGCCAGGCGTCTGGAGAACTTCATGTGAGTTAAATCAGCGTCTAACATCTGCAGTCGGAGCAGTAGGAGTCATTTTCAATGAAAGATAAGAACATTTAAGACATGATGAGGTAAGGGTTAATGGAATATGTTTAATCTGACTGGGGCCACGGTGCGAACCCTGAACACCGTCGTGGTGAAGCGAGAGCCTGTTCAGTGTTCACTGAAGGAGGTGGTGGAGGGAGGAGGAGCCGAGTGAACCGTGAGCTCCTCTGAAGAGCTGCTGCAGAGCTCAGAGAGCTGTGCATGAATGAATGCTGCAAACATCGATGAAGTGACCAGAACTCGTCCACAGTGATGAGACGGAGTGATGAAGTCACACAGGGACGATTTGTAGTTGTGTGCATTTCCTTCTCCGGTGTGTTTGTCCTCTCTGGGACTAAAAGGAGAACGTTTGGTGTTACTGGGCCGCTCCCAGTACAGTTTGTGTTTGAGTCTAACCGAAGGTGCTGCTGTGTCCCGCAGGCTGCAGCTGATCGACGACTTGTCCTACGAAGACGTGAAGAAGTGTTACAGAGGATCGGTGAGTAAGACCTGCCCTCGCACAGAGCAGCAGGAGTTTCAGAGATGACAGCAGGAGTCCTGCAGGAGTCTCCATGGGGACGGGGGTGTGTTTGTGGGCAGGATCGACGTGAGTGGACAGAAAAGCTCAGGCGACCATCAGGAAGCAGCAGCAGCTCTGATCCCAAACGTTTCTCTGGGTTTATCCGTTAGTTTAATGTTTTAGGCCCGACGAGGCAGGATCAGAGCAGGCGATGGAGATCTGGGTGTCGAGCTGCCGCTGACTGTTGTT